AAAAAAGTTCAATTTCACAATACATTTAGGACAAACTGTCGCCAGTAAACATCCTTAGCGCAAATTTTATGAAAGCGCGGAATTTTTAAAAAAAGGATCCTGTAATATGCCTATCCAAGTCAGCTACTCTCCAGTGAAAGTCTCGTCGAAATCGGCCCAGCTGTTTCGAAGATTACCCGGAACAAACGCGGCTAGCGTACAGTCAGACAGACAGACAAAATATTTTAAAATGCGATTTTCGATACCAGAAACGCAAATACATCATCTTCCCGAAATCTGGAATTTTTCTTTTGATGAGTAACAGACACTCTAATTTTATTATATGTATAAATAGAAGATAATGGATGGATATTACATTTTTTTTAGTACAGTTTGTAGATTTTATTTTGTTTTATTTAAATAGGGAAATTGCGATTAGTCTAAAATTAAAAACATAAGTATAGCTAGAGTATTCTATTTTTAAAATGGACTCAAAATTGAACCCAAAAGTTCATGACTCGTGCGTATTGTACAGTTCATAACAATATGCATAAAAATAATTTTATTCGTATTTATTTCAGTCTACCGCTATATTTATTTTAAGGTTTTCTAGCAATGTAACAAACGTTACGTCGCAAGGTTAAAATGTTTATTGCCTTTCTCGAACTTTCTAATGAGTAACAAGGATCTTAACATCGTCGAGACTTACAAAAATATACTCCTATAATGCCGGCTACACACCTTCGCATTTAACTTCGCAGTATTAACTGAACAACCAGGCTGTACAGTTAAAACATACGTGAGCATAGAAAGGTATTGATAAACTGATAGTTAAAATTTTGACACACTATTGATTAAACTGTACAGTACGGTTGTTCTTTTAAAACTGAAGGTGTATAGCGGCCTTTATTAAATAAGTCGTTCCACGCCCTGTCTAATAATTTTTATTTTTAGTCGTCAACAAGTGGGCTCTTTGTTATATCAAAATAATACAGGTCTACGAAACTCTATGACTTGTTTGTGATTCGTATAACAGGAGAGGCAGACGGATGAAATGTAAATTTATTAGCTTAAACGGTCGACGTGATGCCTTCACCTTTATAACCAATGGCTCTCAAACTGTTCAATCGTAACCTAACAAAAAAAGGACGAATTGTTTAACAAGTGTTCGACAGCTACAATATTATGACCACATAAAAGACAGTCGATAAGTAGAAGTATTTCCGTAATTTCAGCCAGATCTTTCGTATTTTATACTAGCTTTCAACCGTGACTCCGTCTGCGTGAAATTAACAAAAGTGTAACACAAGTTAACAAAAGTAGCCTATGTGTTCTTCCAGACTATCCTCCACATCTATACCAAATTTCATTAAAATCCGTTCAGCCGTTTAGCTACATACCCTAACAAACATCCATCCATTCATCTATCCATCCATCCATCTAAACTTTCGCATTTATAATATTAGTAAGATTAGTAAGAAGTAAGATTTAAAAACTTCATAGTTGTAGGTCGTTTGTACCTTTAAAAGGCAGGTGCATAGTAAAACTTGCAGCTTTTATAAAATAAAAGAAGATCTGGCTGTCACTGGCTCTACATCTTTATGTATAAGGCCATTTGTAGTATTCTGTTCTTTTCTGCCCTTGTCTAAAAACAGATGGTGGGGAGGATATAGGAATAGAAAAGTTCCCTTTTCCGTATATCCTTCCTTCTGTTTACTTAAGGTGTGCAACACAATAGATTAACTCTTACCTGTCTACTTTTGCAATACCGAGGTTCCACTGGAACAAAGCTTTAACAAAAATAACATATGAAACTAAGAAAAACAAATAACAAATATTGATCGGAAATAGATATCAATCTATTAAAAGCTTAAACGCTGTTCGTTTTCCTAAATGTTTTCATTTATCAAAGTTTGAGAGCCAGCGGCGCGCGGGCGGCCTGCCCTATATAAGCTCGCTGCAGGCCCCAACTGATCATTCTCTACGCAACAGGTGACAGAAGCAGAGGTAAGTGACATCTTATCAGACTACCAGTTTTTTTTTATTTAAATACTTGTTCCAAATTACGTAGCTCATGTGTGTATGTACTTTTTTTCTGGTTTTAAGTATGGATTATTTTCAAAAGTATAATAATTTGTATGTAATAATTTTTAGAACAACTTTAATAAACTAAATTAATTAATATTTTTTTAAACTAAAGATAAATATTTGATACAAAATTAAGCTTCAATAAAAAAAAAATATAAAAAATTAAGATTTTGCTATGTTATTATTTTAGATTTTAAACATTAATTACTCTATACTTATTTTACATTTAAATAAAAATTGAAATTTTAAAATCTTCATCTTCTTGCATACATTTTTTAAAGTATAAGTTAAAATAGTGTTTAAAAAACCGTGAATTAAAAAAATCGACTTCTAAAAAAACATTAAAAATCGTTTGTTCGATGAATTAATATAAATTAAGTCATCATTTAGAATCGATAACCTATAAAAAATAGTGTTTATTCTCTACTTAAGTGTAAATCCATTTTAAGTTACTTATAACTTTCTCGCACTCTAATTGAAACACAAATGTTTAGCTTACCCTCACTAAATTAAGAATAAATTGTATAACATGCCCAAGGCTTGGCATAAATATTAAATACACTAAAATTAGAAACAGAATATACAGTAAGAGACAAAATTCTTAATCTTAGTAAGTGATTAAAATGTCAAAGTATACACCCTGTATAAACACGGATTGTTTGACTGGAGGTAATTGAAGTTAAGACTTCCCTAGGGATAAGCCCTGAGTTACCTCACCACTCATAATGGGAACTTCAAGTAAAGTCGTGTCCATCTACGAGTAATAACGTTTTTTTTTTATTTTCAATTTACTCTTCGGGATTTCGAAATAGTTTTCCTATTAGCGTTAGTATTTTAAAAATTATATTATTATTGTTAAGTATAACTTCCAATGATCCTTGATCTTAATTTTCATTAATAATTGTTGTCTAAATGTTAAATTAAAATCAATGTAGAAACATCCTAAACATCTAATGTTAGTTATTTTTTAAATAACCTCTCTAAATCTTATATTAACCGGTAAACTATGAATCAAGGAATATTATTTTTACCAATAATATTAGAAATTAGGAATCTTAACATGCATGATTATTTAAGTATATATGAAATGTTAAAGTAATAAGAAATAATTGCTGTCGATATTTCCCTAACGATATTATAAAGCTTTTACTCCGCACTTCTTTACTAAGCTAAAAATATGGAGTAAAGTAGCGAGAAATAACAATGTATCTAAGTGTAGTTTTAAATATTAGAACTGTGTAACAATTAATTATTAATCGTTTCCTGCTTCGTGAAATCTACTTCCCATCCTTTCCTTGTAAGGAAATTGTGGGAAGGGAAATGTGAATAAAATTTGGCTTTTGGCAGTCATCAGACGAATCTCATAGTTGTGGAAACAAACGAACTATGCATGCACCAGGCGATACGGCCCAATTATCTAAATATTTTAAAGCGGGCTCTACCACTGTTAAAGTGTCCTAATGGATTGGAAAAAAAAATATTTACCTCTAGTTATTTATCAGGCAAATGTAAGTCCCATTTCCCTTAAAAGGCACTAAAACGTTATTTTTAATTATGATTTTTCTTAATTTATTACATTAACACATATTAAGAAACTCATAAAATGCGTTTCTCAGGCTTCATAATCGTATATTAGAAAGATTTCATTTGCGCTAAGCTAAAGAAGCTATTATCCAACTTAATGGTGAACCGGTTGCAAGTATGGCGAAGGCTTCCACTTTTTTCTATACTAATATAATAAAGAAATAATACTCTGTTTACAGCTGAGCTAATTTTAATAATTGTCCGTTTTACAAAAAACGTTCTGCGTCAAAAATAGCTTTTAAAACTTTCTGTATTAATCTATACTATTATAATAAAGCGTAAACACACACTTCTTTCTTGCTTAAGATGTTAGCACTTACAGCATATTTTTAAATAATCCTTTTTTTAATAATTAACCCTACACTTACGTCACGCTTTAGGCTATATATTTTCACGCCATTAAACTCAGGGGGTAAATATTTTGGATAAAAAACCCAATGTGGGAAAGAGACCATAAGTTGTTGCCAACATCGACATTTGCTATTAATAATTTGACAAACGTAAACAATAATATAAGATTTTCATAATTTCATGCGGATGAAGCCGCAGGGGAATAGCTAGTTTTATTATAATAGTAAAAATAACACTATTTTACATCATCTCAATTTTCATTTCCACCCTCTTACTATCAAAGTATATTTGTTTAGATTTAATCAGTAACAAATCCTATTTATAAATAGGAAGATTACTCGGAAATTTGAGAAGTATCTAATACTCCATTACAATTGCTTACAAAGTCCATATGAACTTAAATTGTCTTAAACATAGATTTGTGATAACAATGAAACAAAACCGCTTACGAAATTTGGAACTTTTAACATGTGTATGTTCAATGACCTTAAATTGTCAGAGATAATTAGATTTGCAATTATAATTTTATCACAACTACCCGTTTAATTTATTAAAAACGATGTTTATACTCAATACTATTATTACAAGTTAATTTTAGACTATCATATGTCTAACATTTTTTGTATAGTGTCGAACAAGCGAGCTGATTTCTCTGAAATACCAAACGCTGGCGTAGACATCAACAATTGTTGTTGCCTATCTTCGACGGAGCAGGAGACGCGCCTATCCCTTCTTTATAAGACACGAGGGCGAGAGAGAAGAAGGGACTAAAATTAGGCTTCCGGCACGCACACTCCTCACGGAATCACTTCCACTAGTCGCCAGTTTTCTGTGTAGTCTTAGTATTGCATCAGGCGAGCCGATCATTTCATGCAACTGATGTTCTTTGCTGACCA